CTGAACCAACACTCTCTGTAAACCAAACTTCTGAAATTCCCCCACCTGAAACACAAACTTCTAAACAACAACAACTAGAAACCACTCCATCTGATCCTGAACCAATGGTTCTTGATCTTCAACCTCTTATGACTGTCTATCTAGTTCCCTCTGAATCATATGAATCCTCTGAATCTTCTGATTCTTCAGATTCATCTTATTCTACAGACTCTAATAGCTCAGATTTCATTTCATCTATTCTCAAACCGTTTGTTTCCATCCCTTCTGACCCTGATAATGAATTTTTACCATCTGAACCTCAGATTGTTAAACCTTCATCTGTCCATACTCCTTCTGCATACCCACCTGTTATCTACATCCCTTCTTTTTCCATCCTCTCAACTTTTGAAACCACCAAAACACCCTCTTTAGAAAACTATCTGAAACCTAAACCTAGGCTGGATGTTAGTACTTTATTTGCTGGGTTTGAAAAAGAACTAAACATGTGGCTATCTACTGTCGAGAAAGAATGCATGTCAAGTTTGAATCCTAATGATTCTAAGGCTATCTGGCAAAGATTCAGATCCATATTTGATTATGTAGCTTCCAATATTCAAGAGATTTGTGCTGATGATGCAAATGTCAGATTTGCTGAGGCTGTTAGACAAACTCTTCTGAGAGTCAGCAGAAACCTAACTTTGCTTCTCGAAAACACACTTGCAAAGGACGTATGTATTCCTTCTGAAGTCTTGGTTGCTTCTGAGACTGCTAAAGTAGTTCGCTCTGAAGTAGTAGTTCCAGAAGTTTTTGCCCCTGCTTCTGAGACTCTTGACTCTGCTCAACCTGCTGATATGATCGTTCCGAATGCTTCTGCATCCTTGGTTGTTCATGATGCCTCTGCTTCTGCTTCTGCATCTGCTCCAGAATCATCTGAAGTGAAGAAGGAAGACGAAGATCTGCATGCTCATATTGCTGAACTCAAGGCTGGCAACATTGAGATGAAATCTTGGATGGTTAAACAAGAAAAGGCAACTGATGAAATCAAGACATGGATGGCAAAACAAGACGAATCCACATCTGAGATAACGAATATTCTGAGGATGCTGGCTTCTCGTCCTTCTTAGTCTTTCTATGTTGTTTGTGCACTTGTGTTATCTATCTGTTTGCTTTTGTCTTGGATATTGTTTCTGGATTATCTTGATTAATGCATATGTATGATATGTTTTTATGAATGAATTTATCTGTTGCTTTCTTGTCTTTCTTCTGTTATCCTTTTGTTTTTTGTCTTAAATTTTTTCTTAAAAGATTTTCTTTTTGATATGACAAAAAGGGGGAGAAAATGGTAATTTTGATAATTCACATAAACAGTTACCAAAGGCAACTCATACATGATAAATTTCAACTAATCATATTTTTAAGTGTTTCAGAGCAAATAATTCTCATCTGATAAATTCTTAGAATTAACTATGAACCAAAAGTCTGAGAATCTGCAAGTTTCCTCTGAAGCTGAAAAGAATACAGAAGCTGAAAGGGAAGTATTTTATCTTTCCAGAAGTATTCATTTCAGGGGGAGATTAATATTCTCAGGGGGAGTAATATATTTTTTTCTATCTCAACAAAATTTCCCATAGTTTTTGTCATCATAAAAAAGGGGGAGATTGTTAGAACACAGATTGGTGTCTAATATATCTCATAGTTTTGATGATAACATTAATGAAATTTTGTATAGAGAATTTATATACACTAATTTTGTTCAAGTGTTTATTTGTTTCAGATATTAAAATTAACATTATTCTGGAAGCAAGAACACCTCTGAACATTAAAGAACGAGAAAGCTCTGAGCGTCAGAAGCAAGTCATCAGAAGACTCTGATCTGCTACAATGACTCTGAGCGAAGCTAAGAACATACGTAAAGCTTCAGAAGATTCTGGATATACTCAACGCTGCAAGTACAGAAGTTCTGATAAGCAAGTATGCTCTGTTAAAGAATTCACGCTTAAAGCACTTTGCTGCAAACTCTGATAGAGAAACTCTGAGTGAGTTAACTCTGACCTGAACAACTTGGAACATCATCAGAAGTTCTGATGCAAGACGTTCTAAAGTTGTTGAAGACGATGTTGTTCAAATAAAGATCCGTTGGCATATTCTTTGGCATTATCCTAAACGGCTCTTTCCCCATTCGTGCATGACACAGGATTTCAGACAAAAAGGATTTGTCAGAGCATTCCTCTTCTGAGAAAGGAAAAGTCATTAGAAGACAAAAAGATCAAAATGCACAGATTGCACAGTCTTTGAGAAAGGATTTCAAAGTACTATAAAAGCAAATCTAAGCATCACTTCAATGGTTAACGAACTACCAACGAATTATTGTCAAATTATTCAACAAGCTCTCATACAACATTCTTCAAAAGCTGAATAGTTTATTTTCGTTCTAAAACTTGTGTAAAAATCACTGTTGTGATATAGCTTTTTAGAAGCACATCTTAAACACATTTGTTAGTTTATCTTTGTAAAAGATTTCCTTAAGAAGACCAAGTTGTGGTCAGAATTTCTTGAGAAGACTAAGACAGTTGTCTTAGTGGTTTACACTGTAATCAAGTTTGATATAGTGGATTAAGTCCTTGTTGAGGAAGGCAAATCACCTTGGTAGGGTGGACTGGATTAGTTTGAGTTCAAACGAACCAGGATAAAAATACTGTGTTATTTTTCTATCATCCAATTGTTTTAAAACCCTTATTCACTCCCCCCCCCCCTTCTAAGTGTTTTTCTCACCTTCATTTTCTTTGTAAGTTAGATGGTTAGAAGTCTCTTGCCTGTGTGCTTGAGCATTTGAAGTCTCTTGTTGTGTGCTTGAGCATTTGAAATCTGTTACTTGTGTGTTTAAGCATCTAAAGTCTCTTGCTTATGTGGTTGAGTAATTTTAATCAGTACCGATTATAATGATTTCCCTTGGAAGTACAAGGGGACTGGACTACTCTTATTTTGTGGGAGGAACCAAGATAAATAAACTTGTATCTCTCTTTGTTTCACCCTCTAAATTTGAACTTGTTTTTATTTGCTGCATACATTTAACTCAATATAAGATATATCACACACATTCTTGTGTTTTTCTCACATTTAGGATCTCATGTAGCTTTGTCTTCACTCTAGGGTTTCTTTTTTCTTTCAGGATCTTGCATCTGGTCTTGAACAATGTTTTCTTCTTTGCGGCTATACTACAACCTATATGTCATGCTAAGTCCTTCTTTAGTTTTCCTAGACATATGTGGAATTCACATCCAGGTTCTTGGATGGTTCCTCTTTGATTTTGGTTTTGCTTTGGTCTTCTATTTATTTACTCTTATGCAACATTATTGAAGCGAGAAAACATGACTGACATGCCTCAATTTTAGCCTCGATGACGGGAATCTCATCCAAAATCATTTGGGACATCACTTTTAAATGGGAAATTAGGTATATTACTCCCAACATTGTTATGATTGTGAGGCTTATAATGCAGTTATAGATGGAATTGCACTCGATGACTAGGACACATAGTCTGAATCTACTTTCTAGCTTCATTGCATCTGAAGCCGAAAATAGTTCAAAATAGTCTAATGACTTAGTTGTAATTCCATTAAAACCCTAAAGATCATAGTCATGCTAGTTGATCAAGTGTTTGCGCGTTAACTATTAGGCGTCAAACAACTTTGAGTACACGGTGTAACAAGAGCTTTCTAGGTTGGCTAAGATCCAAGAAATGTGATAAATTTCGATTACACCCTTACCAAGATCCAAGAGCATTCTTTCAACAAATATTTTTCTTAAATAAAACTTCATTTTTCTACTTAATCATTTGTAATGTGCGTGTATATATGAAAAAAAGGGAGATGCACTGATATTGTAAATTTTTTTTACACTGCCAACCAATAATGGCCATGCATTCCGCCAAGTCATATTAAAAATTTTAAACTAATTATATGACATGACAGAATGATATAATATTATTGGATGACTATATATATATATATATATATATATATATATATATATATATATATATATATATATATATATATATATATATATATATATATATATATATATATATATATAATATTTTGTTCTCTGATGATTGAAATTTGTGATAAAATATCTTTTCTAGATGAATTATTAATTTCTTATGTTAAACAAAAAGCTAGAAGATCAATTAAAAGAACAAATTATTTTCCCGACCTATGACAACGTTTTTATTAAAGCGAGATATTAGTTGATAGCTAACAAAAAAGTATGTTAAATATTTCACTTTTTTTAACACGCTTTTTATTTCTTGCCTTCTAGAGCGCTTTTGACAGTCATATACTTTTCCGAGTTTTTTTAAAACGTCATATTCAAAAAGGGTTTAGATCATTAACAGATGCGGGAGTTACAGGATATTTACCACCTTTTAAATCTTCAAATATATTACTATTGCACACATGATTTTTACCAATTATTTTTTATTTAAAATTTTAATAATAATAATAATAATAATAATAATAATAATAATAATAATAATAATAATAATAATAATAATAATAATAATAATAATTGTTTAAATATTGAAAAAGTTAAGTTATTTAAGGAAGAAACAACTTAATCTATACTTATTGTCATATTTTAAAATTGATGCACAACCCTTTAAGATGTTAATAGTTTCAAACTGTTAAAAAAAACTCACGGTTTTATTAAAAGAAAAAAGAAACTGAACTAATTTAGGTGTTGGTAATATTTATATAGTTTCATTTTCATTTACATTTCCATTTAGTGAAATTTCTACGCCAGTTATTGAATATAGTATTTTCTTTTGAACCGCATTCACATAGACTTTTTTTTCCTGGGTAGGAAAATATAATATGAATATTCACAAAGATAGTTTCCCAGTCTTTTCCCCTTTTTAATATTCTACCCTCCTAATAAATACAAAATGATGAATTTCTAAAAATATTTTGTCTATAAATAGTCGTGAGTTTGCACAAAGACAAGCACACAACAAAGTAGCAATGGGGAAATCATGTTTTCTCTTGACAACTTTCATAACATTCATGTTTATTTCATCAACAATTTCACAATCACCCATACAAAATTTTCTCAATTGTATATCTCATGAATCTCAAACTTCTGAAATCACTTATACACCAAACAACACCTCATTCTCAGCCATACTCAACATGAGGATACGAAATAAGAGATTTAAAACAACAACAACACCAAAGCCTTTGGCAATTATAACTGCAAAAAATGCTTCTCATGTCCAAGCAACAGTTAAATGTGCCAAGAGTAACAATATTCAAATCAGAATTCGAAGTGGCGGCCATGACTATGAAGGTTACTCATATGTATCAGATGTGCCTTTTGTTATACTTGACTTGTTTAATATCAATTCAGTTGATATCAATTTACAAGAAGAAACGGCGTGGGTTGGATCCGGTGCAACACTTGGTAAGATATATTATAACATTGCAAAGAAAAATAGTACCCTTGCTTTCCCATCTGGGGTCTGTTTTTCTTTAGGTGCTGGTGGTCATTTTTCTGGTGGCGGTTATGGAAATTTGTTGAGAAAATTTGGTCTTTCTGTTGATAATATTATTGATGCGAATATCGTTGATGCCAGTGGTAACATCCTTGATAGAAAATCAATGGGAGAAAATCTCTTTTGGGCTATAAGAGGTGGTGGTGGAGCTAGTTTTGGTGTTATTCTTTCATGGAAACTCAAATTGGTTCATGTACCTCCACAAGTTACTGTTTTCAATGTGAAAAGGAATGTGGATGAAGGTGCAACTGATGTTGTTTACAAATGGCAAATAGTTGCACCAAAATTGCATAAAGATCTTTTCATTAGATTGCAACCTAATATTGCTCAAATTGGTAACGAGGGTAAAAAGGTTGTGCAGGTTAGTTTTATTGGTCAATTTTTGGGGACAATTGAAAGGCTATTACCTTTGATAAGCGAGAGTTTCCCTGAATTAGGATTGAAAAAAAGTGACTGTTTTTCAATGCCTTGGATTAATACCACTCTTTTTTGGTATGATATGCCAATTGGTACTCCACTAGAAGCATTGTTAGATGAACCAAAAGAACCTCAAATAAGTTACTTCAAAAGTCAATCAGATTATGTGAAGAGGCCTATTCCAAGGGAAGGTTTAGAATCTATATGGAAAAAAATGATTGAAGGAACTTTGTTTATGCAATGGAATCCTTATGGTGGAAGAATGGAAGAGATATTGCCATGGGAAGCGCCGTTTCCTCATAGGGCTGGAAACTTGTTCAAGATTCAGTATCTTAATTATTGGACTGATGAATCTTCCGAGTCTATTGAGCGTCACGTGAATATTTCAAGGTCTTTTCATGAATTTATGACACCCTATGTTTCAAATTCTCCGAGGGAGGCATTCCTCAATTATAGAGATGCTGATATTGGTGCCAATCATCCAAGTAATACAACAAAATTTGACATTGCTAAAATTTATGGAAGCAAGTACTTCAAAGGAAATTTTGAAAGATTGGTGAATGTGAAAACCAAGGTTGATCCTGAGAATTTTTTCAGATATGAACAAAGTATACCTACTAGGAGATATTAAAGTTATAAAATGTTGTATTTTACCAAATAAAAGTGATAAAATGTAGTTTGAGTTTTTAAGAATAAATTGTGTAAAATATTTCCTGAGAAATAAATGAAAAATAAAATTCCTACTATATCTTTTTTTTTTCCTGTATTGTAACCCAATACAAATTATTATTTTAGTTTATTTATTTATTTATGTTTCTTTGTTTCAATTACTTTAAACTATTAACTATTGTGAAATAAAAACTACTAGTATAAGAGGAACAAGTTAAAGAGAAATAGTTAACACACATAATGTTAGAACATACACAATGAGTTAATTTGAAGAAGATGAAGTTAAGAGATTGAGAGAGTAATTGAGGGTGAGAAGAATAATTGCCATTAATCATAACATGGGAGCTTACATTGCCTTTTATATGGCAAGTACACACAACCAATGAGATACTACAAAAACAGTTTAATCAAATAAACTGATGCAAACAGAAAATAAAAAAAAAAACAGAAAAACGCATCTGTAACCGATTATGCTAAATCTCATAATCGATTACGAGTCTGATACTAACAATTCCCAGCCAAGAAACAACTTTGTAACCGGTTACACCAAAACCCGTAACCGGTTACCACAACTGAAATGCTAAAAATCTGTTTTCTACACACCACCTCAATTTAGTTGTTCCAAGTCCAGCATGTTCAACCTTTTCTTCAACCTTTTGAACACCTCACTTGTTACCTCCTTGTTCAACAAATCTGCAACTTGGTATTTGCTTCGACAATATCTCAATCATAACTTGCCTTCACTCACTAACTCCCTCAAATAATGAAACTGCATCTCTATATGCTTGCTTCTTCTGTGTGCAATCGGATTCTTTGCAAGGTTGATTGCAGAAACATTATCAACCAGAAGTGTAGAAGCCTCACTCTCATTGCTATCCAACTCCTTCAATAGATTCATGATCCACATAGATTGACACACACGCAACGAAACTACAATATACTCGGCCTCCCAAAACAAATGTAGTAGCCTCAACCAGAAGATGAAGTTAAGAGATTAAGAGAGAACTGAGAGAGTAATTGAGGGTGAGAAGAATAATTACCATTAATCATAATGTGGGAGCTTACAATGACTTTTATATGGCAAGTACACACAACTAATGGGATACTACAAAAACAGTTTAATCAAATAAGCTGATACAAACAGAAAATTAAAAAAAAACAGAAAAACACATCTGTAACCGATTATGCTAAACCTCATAATCGATTACGAGCCCAATACTAGCAATTCCCAGCCAAGAAACAACTTTGTAACCGGTTACACCAAAACCCGTAACCGGTTACCACAACTGAAATGCTAAAATTCTGTTTTCTACACACCACCTCAATTTAGTTGTTCCAAGTCCAACATGTTCAAGCTTTTCTTCAACCTTTTGAACACGTCACTTGTTACCTCCTTGTTCAACAAATCTGCAACTTGGTATTTGCTTCGACAATATCTCAATCGTAACTTGCCTTCACTCACTAACTCCCTCAAATAATGAAACTGCATCTTTATATGCTTGCTTCTTCTGTGTGCAATGGGATTTTTCGCAAGATTGATTGCAGAAACATTATCAACCAGAAGTGTAGTAGCCTCACTCTCATTGCTATCCAACTCCTTCAATAGATTCATGATCCACATAGATTGACACACACACACAACGAAACTGCAATATACTCGACCTCCCAAAACAAATGTAGTAGCCTCAACCAAAAGATGAAGTTAAGAGATTAAGAGAGAACTGAGAGAGTAATTGAGGGTGAGAAGAATAATTGCCATTAATCATAATGTGGGAGCTTTCAATGACTTTTATACGGAAAGTACACACAACCAATGGGATACTACAAAAACAATTTAATCAAATAAGCTGATACAAACAGAAAATTAAAAAAAAGAAAAGAAAAACACATCTGTAACCGATTATGCTAAACCTCATAATCGATTACGAGCCCGATACTAGCAATTCCCAGCCAAGAAACAACTTTGTAACCGGTTACACCAAAACCCGTAACCGGTTACCATAACTGAAATGCTAAAAATCTATTTTCTACACACCACCTCAAATTAGTTGTTCCAAGTCCAGCATGTTCAAGCTTTTCTTCAACCTTTGGAACACCTCACTTGTTACCTCCTTGTTCAATAAATCTGCAACTTGGTATTTGCTTCGACAATATCTCAATCGTAACTTGCCTTCATTCACTAACTCCCTCAAATAATGAAACTGCATCTCTATATGCTTGCTTCTTCTGTGTGCAATCAGATTTTTCGCAAGATTGATTGCAGAAACATTATCAACCAGAAGTGTAGTAGCCTCACTCTCATTGCTATCCAACTCCTTCAATAGATTCATGATCCACATAGATTGACACACACACACAACGAAGCTGCAATATACTTGGCCTCCCAAAACAAGTGTAGTAGCCTCAACCAGAAGATGAAGTTAAGAGATTGAGAGAGTAATTGAGGGTGAGAAGAATAATTTACATTAACCATAATGTGAGAGGTTACAATACCTTTTATATGGCAAGTACACACAACTAATGAGATACAACAAAAACAGCTTTATCAAATAAGCTGATACAAACAAAAAAAATAGAAAAATGCATCCGTAACCGATTACGCTAAATTTCGTAATCGATTACAAGTCCAATACTAATAATTTTCCAGCCAAAAAACAACTCCGTAATCGATTACGCCAAAACCCGTAACCGATTACCACAACTGAAATGCTAAAAACCTGTTTTGAACACATAAACTGTTTAATTTGAGGGAGATATTTTTTAAGTTTCTTTTTCCACCATCAATTCTTTAATGAATCGGTCCTGAGCTATTTGAGAAATTCTTTTAATTAATTTTTAGTACCAATTATTTCTTTATTTTTGCTTCATTTAACATTTTTTTTTTCTTTTCGATGGGTACATATTTTTCTCAACATTTCCAATCTCTTTTTATGGAATTTTCCTTTCAAGATCACCATCCCAAATTTAAAACATCTATATACAAGAGCATCTTGAAATTTAAAATAATGATACACCTAAAATATTCGTATGACTACCTAACTCTAATGTGATAAAGTAGTTTCTAGGACTTTGTAATACCAAAACATTTTTGTTGAGTTTAAATAAGGAAAAAAGGCTTAAACTCAAAGAGGTTGAAAAGGATATACAATTGAATCATAATAAGGCAGTGGTAATAGGCTTAATTTTCAAGAATGTTTTTGCCTCACTGTGTGAATATCAAATCCATTAACTATAAAGAAACTGATTAAGTTTTAGAAAACTTCATAATATATGGATACACTCAATATCCCGAACAAAAAATAAGTTTATAGTGATCATTTGACTTAAACCTTACTTGTTAGGTTTGCGAAAGTTGAAAGATATTTGTTGCTATATTTTCCTCTTTAATCATTAAACATCCCTTAGTCTTTTTGAGTTTCCATTGTTGGTAAGCATTCATATTTAGTATTTGGTTTCTTTCACAATCACACTTTTAATTATATTAGTAGCGTAAAGAATAGAAAAAAAAAATATGTAAGAACAGTCAAATTTCATTAATCTCAATGCATAGGTTTCGTAAGGTGATGAGGGAGCTTATTGACCCTGCTTCATAAGTTGAGGTTTCTGCTTTTGTTGCTTTTCTCAAGGGTGTGGTGGAAGTTCTTTCTTAACCTATCAAAGTAACACTTATTCATTAAACCCACTTGGGGTGGAGGGTCTATATGCCTCATTTTTTAAATACCACACACAATAGTTTCTCTACGTTGAAGCATTTTATTGATAGCTCAGGGGTTGCAATTAATAACATTTCCATACCCAGATGATGTGCGGTCAAAATTGGCTTATGGTCCCGACATTCGTGTATCTACTTATAGTTACTGTTTTTTTTTTTTACAACCTAATTTTATGGTCTTCTAAAAGATAATCTACACTAGGATGTATTGTGACAATGTTAGTTCTATCTATCTGTCAGACAATTTTGTTCAACATCAACGTACTAAACACATTAAAATAAACATTTACTTTGTTTGGAAGAAAGTCGCTCATGGTCAAGTTTGTGTTTTTCATGTTCCTTCTCGATACTACTAGATTGTTGATATCTTCACCAATTTTTTTTTATCCCATACTCCTACACCCAAAAAATTTGAATCAAAATACCCTTATATGAATAGTTATATATAGTTATATGTTTCAGAATTTTTCCATTTCGTTTCACTCTCCCAAAAGTCTTCTGGAGCATACTACTTTTACATTGCAAACCGGAACACTTCACAAAAGTCTTCTGTTTCATAAATTGCACACCAGAATAGCTAAAGTAAATGTTTCGATTTTATAAGTTTTAAGTTTGTGTACCGGAACTCATTTTCGTAGTCTTCCGATTTGTTAATGTGTTTATCAGAAGTGTCTTCACATGTGTTCAGGTTTAGTTATTTTTGCATTTTGGAAGTCTCTATAAATGAGTTCCAGTTTAGTTATTTTTGAGTTTCGGTATTGTTTTTTTTTTTTTGTCATTTTGAATTTTTTTTTTTTTATTTTTTTCAGTGGCGCAAACACGAGACAGTAAAATTTTAGATCGAACTTTAAGATTAGGGGTGTTCAAAAAATTCATAGAACCATACTGAATCATAGAACCAAATTGAACCACTATTAAATAATCGAACCGTTAGCTCTAGTTCATGAACCAACCTACAATTTATCAAATAGTTTAATAACCAAACTAAACCACAATTAATCAAACCGAACCGTAATTAACTAATTATATTTATAGCATGATATTACTTGATTGTGGAACTTGGTTCATATTTTCTCTACATTGATTTTTTAGCATTAAAATTTATTTTAAATATTAAAATTTTTTTTTTTTAATCAGAAATATTTTGAACGATAATAATGTTTAATTTTTTCAATGGGTGATGAATATGATAAAAAATTGACCGAACATTCAATAAATTATTTAAAAGAAAAATCATTTTTCATCTAGAT